ACGGCCTGCGTTCTCAAATGCCTTGTACCCTATATTGCCTCCAATCACGCTGACAACCTCAAAACATAATAAGAACTTTCTATTGAATATTCTACTTTCCCTGTTCCCCATTCATAAAAATAATTCAGTGTCCGCAGTTCTTAATGCATTTTGAAAAAACAATAAAATATCCTCAGGTGTTGCAAGACTATTCTGGTTGTCACTCTCTTGATATAGACAAGATATGTCACTGTAGATAGCTAAATGGATTCAACTTTCACAAACACGAAAAATCTCATATTGATTCATTTCATGAATAATAAATCATACAGAAAAAGGTTTACATAATTTATTTTTTAGGCATATAATAGCTACATGTCATTTAGTTCTCATTACATACAAAATACTGAAGCATTATCAATCCACGTGTCTTTCAGGTTTTCCATTATCTAGCAATGTTGGCTCTTTTTCCTTCCAAATAAGATTATTGAAACCAAATATTCTTGCAAAACAAGAAATCAACTGCTCATGAATTACTTCTTCAGAAGGAAGCACAGTACCTGTCTCCCTTCTCAAAGATGTAACTTCTTTATCAGCAATCCCACAAGGCACAATGTGCTTAAAATAGACTAAATCAGGATCAACGTTGAACGCCAATCCATGAGAAGTGATTCCAGATGATATGCGAACTCCAATTGCCCCAATCTTTTTATCTCCAACCCAAACACCGGTCTCACACTTTTTTCCAGCACAAGCTTTCACACCATATTGTGACGCCATATCAATCATTGTTAGCTCAAGTTTTTCCACATACTTCCGAGCACCAAGTCCAATGTCACGAAGAGAAATGATGGGGTATAGGATGGCTTGATGAGGACCATGATATGTAATGTCCCCTCCTCTTTGTGTATAGGGAAGTTCAGCTCCTATCTTTTCAAGTTCAGGCACAGGGATCAATAAATTATGATCAGTGCGCCGTTTGCCAAGAGTATATGTAGGAGGATGTTGCAGGGACAGAAGCGTATCTGGAATCTTATGAGCTTTTCTATCACACACCAGCTTTTCCTGCAGCTTAAGTGCTTCCAAGTAGTTGACCTTACCTAATTTCCAAACCTCAAGACTTCGTGGAAATATCATTCTCTGCAAACCGAGAAATAATTAATCCCTATTCTTATCTTATTCTCACATGGCATCATTGTATTATAATCATATGGTACTATTGCACCCCAAATAATAGAATTAGATTTAAAAATTAAAAAAGCGAAAATTCCCATGTACATGGACATGCAACTTTAGCTAAATTCATAATTCTGGGTAGAAAAATCAACGCTTTGAGTATGAGGTAAAACAGTAAGAATTTTAACTGTCAACGGCAAGCACAAAAACTATCGGTAGGTAAAAAAAAAAAAAAGAAATTCAAAGACGGCAGCACCAATTTTTGTTTGCTAGTGAATGAGACCATCAATTAACTCACAGAACCTAGGAGATCAAAAGGAAGGGATATCAACGTCACAATAAAAATTAAAAAAGCAAAAATTCCCATGTACATGGACATGCAACTTTAGCTAAATTCATAATTCTGGGTAGAAAAATCAACGCTTTGAGTATGAGGTAAAACAGTAAGAATTTTAACTGTCAACGGCAAGCACAAAAACTATCGGTAGGTAAAAAAAAAAAAAAAAAATTCAAAGACGGCAGCACC